TGGTAAGTTCCCAGCGTTTTAGTTTTCCGATTTTAGGTTCCTTTGTCGCCAGAAAATCTCGACAGGTCTAACAGAGATGCCCCGGGGGTGATCTGGTTTCATAACGTCGCGATGGGCGGGGCCGCCGAGCCGCAGCCCGCGTTGCTCGACGCGATCCGCGCGGTGCCCGGGGAGAGAGAGAGAGAGAGAGAGAGAGAGAGAGATAGAGAGAGAGAGAGAGAGAGAGAGAGAGATAGAGAGAGAGAGAGAGAGAGAGAGAGAGAGAGAGAGAGAGAGAGAGAGAGCACTCGGCGTCTAGGCCCACGCGCCGTAGTCGAAGGAGCTGACGTTGTGCGCCTGCCGCAGCGACAAGACGCCCCACTGCTCGGCGCCCCGCGCCTGTTCACAGCGTGGGGTGTGAGGAGACGCTGTTCCGACCTCCGCCCACTTGCGCGGTGCCCCGCGCGTTGCTCCGGTCGATGTCAAAGGAGTGCTCGAGGATGTCGACGACTCGGAGGGGCGGCTGCCGCGCCCCTGCGCCACGGGGCAACCGAGTGTCCATCGAGTGTCGGGGGAGGGGAGACGGTCTCGCGCCGTGTGGCCGAGGCGCAGCGGAGGGGTACGAGTACAGCGGAGCACAGCGGAGAGGGGAGTATAGCGGAGTATAGCGGAGCACGGCGGAGTGCGTGTCTCCTCGAGCGGCGCTAGTCGCAAGAGGTGGATGCACACTCCCCTCTGGGCGCGAGTCCCGCCCCCGTCCCCCGACGGCACCTGTGAATAGAAGAGCTGTGAATAGAAGAGCTGTGAATAGAAGAGCTGTGAATAGAAGAGCTGTGAATAGAAGACCCCGTCCCCCGACGGCACTCCCGACGGCAGAGTGAGTGTGTGTGCCGTGCCGGCTCCTGCCCGTGTCCGGGGGTGTCGCGAGGGTTGCCCGGCCCTTTGCCTCGCCCTTGCCCCACCACTCTCTCTCTCTCTCTCTCTCTCTCTCTCTCTCTCTCTCTCTCTCTCTCTCTCTCTCTCTCTCTCTCTCTCTCTCTCTCTCTCTCTCTCTCTCCCTTTTTCCGTCGGTGCCCGTCGTGCCTATCGCGCCCCCCGGTCCCATATCTCCGTGCCCCCTCCTCCGCTTCTGTTTTGCTCCGCCGCCTGTCTCCTTGCCCGCCTCCT